CTAGAACAAGTCTCTGTTGTGTAGTCAACTCTGTAAGATTCATCGCTAGAACAAGTCTCTGTTGTGTAGTCAACTCTGTAAGATTCATCGCTAGAACAAGTCTCTGTTGTGAGGTCAACTCTGTGAGATTCATCGGTAGAACAAGTCTCTGTTGTGTAGTTAACTCTGTAAGATTCATCGCTAGAACAAGTCTCTGTTGTGTAGTCAACTCTGTAAGCTTCATCGCTAGAACAAGTCTCTGTTGTGTAGTCAACTCTGTAAGCTTCATCGCTAGAACAAGTCTCTGTTGTGTAGTCAACTCTGTAAGATTCATCGCTAGAACAAGTCTCTGTTGTGTAGTCAACTCTGTACAAACATTTTAAACCAACTTGTTTAGTTAAGTAATCTGAGTTCAGTGATTTGAAATGTATTATAGTTTATAAAACTTTATTTAATGAAAATTAAATATTATTCCGAAAGTTATTTAGTGATAAAAACAAAATTATTTAAAACTCGTTATTTCAAGTCTTCAATAGCCTATTATTTCCAAGTTCAGCCGATTGAAGAAAACAAGATACAAAATCATAATAACTTAAAAATTCGACGTTAGACACTATCTAGTGTTTCTCGAGACCGTTCGGTGGCTCAGCTTACTGCACCGTTTTTCTATCACTAACCCTATTTTGGGCACTTAGAGGGTATGAAATTAGTATATACACCCTCTGTTTAAATCTACAGCTTGCTAATATACATATCTTACTTTTGAGGCTCGTAACGTTTGACGGGGTGTCCCCAGTGGGTTTGTCGTCAATAGCAGACCTCGAAACTCTGACTTGGCTGTGATGTATTACGACATTACAAACTTCTGATTTCTGACTCCCGAAACTAGCATTTTCTGTCAACACCTTGAAACATCATAATAATTTGAAATGGTCATTTATCTTCGTTTGTAAAGTTAGTAAATCATGGCTGCTGTTTGTCCTACTCTGAGAAATAACTTTAGGCCAAAATTAGGCCCGTGGAAAGTCTAAAGTCCTGAAGTTTTTCTTTTTTTACTTGTGGCGATGAGAGTTAATTAAATCACGATCTTCTTGTTCGATGTTTTTACTTACTTCTGGTGAAGTGGTGATACATCAAATGTGGAGAATTTTACAGACAATTTTTATTTATCGTATATATATTTCACTGAGTATATACTTAAATGTTATGATTGTCTTTAACTGCTGCCCTCTGTCCGTGGAAAAAGTAATCGTAACATCGCTCCTTTCCGTTGTTCTTCCTAAGAAACCTGGACCGTCATGTTCGCCCTTTCAGCAATGTGGGGGCGTTATAACGTTATGGTCATTCTCACTATTCGTTGGTAGCCCAAACATTGACGATGATGTCTACCTGCCTTCCCTCTAGTCTTTCACTGTAGATAGCCCTCGTGTAGCTTTGTGCGAAATTCAAAACAACCAAACAAACTTACTAAAACACTCTTACTTATGATAGTAGGAATACACGTCGATTTGGTGTTCTTTGATGATTTCTCTCCGGCAAATAACATTTATTATTACGCAGAAAAAATAGATCCTTAAACTTTATAAATTCCACATTTGTCACCGTTTTCAATAAAATTGGCGGGCTTTAATCGTTTCACCTGTTAAAGTATATATATATTGTCATGAAAACTAGAACTAACCAATGATTCCAAACTTTTTAACACCTTTTGGTAGTAGTTATACGTTAGTCATTCTTGTCATATCCGTCTCGCAAATTAAACAAGATATTTGGGATAAATATTACTGATATCTTTTCGTTCCTACAGCAGTTTAGTATTGTTTACTTCATTTCATGTAAATTTCTTAGTTTGCTTGCTTGAGTTCAAAAAGATTATTTCATACAGTAGCTTTAATTTCAAATTATCTCTTTCAACTGTCGTTGTTAATCGCCTAGTTAGTGATAGCTTTGAAATTTGAATCACGTGATCGAAGGTAGTCCAAACACGTTTCTAGTTTCATCTGAGAACGTGCTTATTGGACGATACGGAGAAAGCTCAAGCGATTTGGTGAAGTTGGTAACGTCGTTGTTAAGGTAACACCGCCATCTTTTTGTTAGGGTTCAGTACGACAAATGGTGGTGTTATACAGGCACATTTGTATTCAATGTTGACCTTGGCACATCTTGAAGGTTGGGTTTGTGGAGTAAACTGTGAACATTTCATAAACGCCATTGTTTCATGAAGACGGTTACGATTTTGTTGAATTCAACATTTACACACTTTACATTAGTGGTAGAGAAGAACAGGTCTAGGATATTGTATCAGGAAATAGTGAAACGAGTAGAAGC